TGGAGGCTTGCTTTTGGTTGAAGGCAGCAGGATCTTGACGTATTTGCAAGGGAAGGAATACAGGGTCACCTTGCTAGTTGTTGCTGGCTTTCTCCTGACTAGCAGGCAGTTCACTCTCTGCTGTGCCTGCAGCACTCCTGTTTAAAAGATGAGAAATTAATCTCTGACCAAACAGGCATCTTGAACTGTGCACATGTTTGTGCACTGCACACTCTTGCATAGAGTAGCAAGAGTGGCACAGACTGCAAAATCTAAGTCAGCAGCTGTTGGAAGAACTTGCTTTCCTGAGGTACTCTATTCTCCTCCTAAGGAAGACCATGGAAGTAAACTGCTGCTTTGCTTTGGTCACTGGAATAAAAGGAAGGTCAATTCTATTTATACAGGTAAGTATTTAGTTTTGAAAGCAATTGTTTACTTCCACTGTTCATTTTATAAGGCTGAAAAGAGAGGCTATCTGGACAAAAGTGCTGGTTTAATGATCAGATCTCTACCTCTGTGAGAGGCTCAACCTCAATTTTCACTTGAACCTAATTTTATAAACCATGCTGCATACCTCTCAAGGGACATTGTCCATTCTTTTGGTTCACTGGTTTTGTTTTCACTAAGTGTTGAATTCTCACCTTGCCCTTGACTGCCCCTGGCACCCTGAAGAATATCACAAACCTTTCCCTTCTTGACTTCTTCTAATTCTGCTTTGGACTTCAGACATCAGTGTAATGTCTGTGGCTGTTTTATCTAATACTGGTGATATTGATGTTATTTAAAAACCATGCATCATTACATTTTAATTCAGGAATACACAAAACAGATGTTTTGCCTCTGATGAATGTGTCAATACTTTGTATTGTAACACCTGTTGTGTAAACGGATGTAACATAAGCTCCCATTTTAAATGAAGATCAAACATTCCAATATCTACATAAGAAATTGATACAGTGCCATAGATCTTTGGTAACATTTTGGTAATGACTATGTAACAATGGTGTTGTAACTTCAATTCAAGGTAATGAGTTAAAACAATGGTGTTGTTACTTCAATTCAAGGTAATGAGTTAAACTCTACCCAAGCAGCACACAGTATTCCTGTAGCTACCTTTAGAGGAAGCTCTTAGAGGAAAAGCAATCTAAAGTAACCAAAATTTGTTACAATGTAAATCCTATTTTGAGATAATTGTTTTAATTATTTAAGAATTACAAAACATATCTTTCTAAATATTTAAATTCATAATTCATGGACAGTTTCTCATACAAGGATTTTGGGGTCGTTTCCGCTTGCGTAGCAGCCAATTTTATTGTCCCCATGAACCTGGAGACTTGTGGCAACTGTAACATTGCTGCAAGACAATGTTATATTAGGGCATTACCATGATGCATTTATCTAGTCTGTTAGTGGAAATAGTTGTTTGAAAGAGATCTCAGCACTTCAGGAGTGGCTTCTGTTTTAGAGTGCTTAGTTCTCTGCTAGGAGTTCCAGTTTCGACTGATCAACACTATCACTGCCAATGCAATGTAGTCCACTTTGCACATCTGTTTCTTTACCTTATGTTCATTTCTAAAATAGCCCTCTGGTAAATACACAAAAAGAAAAGTTCTAGTAAGACAAATGTTGCTGAAAGTGTCTCTGAATTGAATACTGGAATGGAAAATACTTGCAAAAAAGAAAAAACTAATATATTTTTTTCCGGACTGTTTACAGACTGCTCATACCTGGTGTATGCCTAAAGTCCCTGGATCTGATGCTTCTGTTCTGTTCTGCAGTTCTAGAGTCTTCAAGCTACTGCACAATCTTTAATTGTGAGAATGTGGATGAACTGGAGAGACTGATGTTAAAGAGTCCTTGCTTCTTTCCCTCATCTATTTCTGTAACAATTGCCTTTCCCTTCTGTGCATCTCAGTAACGTGGATTTCCACTTTGGGTTGTATTTATCAGGACCATTTTACTTGCTCACTGTACTTGAAAATATCCATAGGTCATTGGAGTTACTAACCACAGTCACTAGGTCAGGTTGGAACATCTCATATACTGGAAGGCTCTCTGCCCATGGAAAAACAAAAGCAGCTTTCTCGTGGCTGATAAGCAAGTGGGTGAATTCTATCAGTGCACAGCTTGGTGCAAAAAAATGTAGTAGCAATCAGGGGAATAGAATTCTGAACAGGAAATTAGGCTATGAAAGGAATAGTTCCCACACACCAACACACAGCTCAATCAGGCAATACCTTTAAGCACTGCTGTGACTTTTTCAATGATGCCTGTTTCCTCCCTGCAGGGGCAGGTGGAACAGATAATCAGGAGGCTGCAGAAAACAGACTTGTTCCTTCCTGAGCACCAGGCCTCGTTTGGACTCCTCTCATTGTTTGGACACTTGCACAAGCAGCAGCATTTGGGATGCACCTGCCTTACCCTGTAGCAGAGGCAGTGTGGCTCTGTGGGTGCAGGGGGCTTGGGCAAGGGAGACTGGCTTGCAAGGTGCTGGAGGCTCTGGTCCCTGCTGAGGACTTTCTTCTGTCAGCACCCAAAGAAACAGTACAAAGCAATGTTGCTGCTTTTTCACTTTTAGCAGGAAAAAGAGGGACAGAAGTTGGGCACTAACAATTCTGTAAGCATGGCCAAAGGAATTGTTTTGGTTTATGGATCTGAGAGATGGCCGGCATCTGTTTTCTGTTTTGCTGTCCTTAACCTCCTTAGGGCAAATATTAATGTACTGATGCATGTGAACTATACATTTATTTTAATTATCAAATCCTGTATATGCTTTATTTAATTAATCTGTTGTTAGTAATACGTAGCCAAATGCATGCATTCAGAATACATTATATAAATCCATTCCACTCAAAGCTTTCTCAGCAGGAGAGCCATTCTGTTCAGCTGATTGCTGGGCAATCTCAAAAACTAACCCTCAACCTCTTTCAGCTGGTTATTTGAAGGTAGAAAGTGTTTGGATAATGTAGTATTTATAAATCAAGACAGAGAGACTGAAATAAAAATTAGTCAAATTTTGTCCTTGATTTTGCTAGCTTTAACCACTATTGCATAGGATTTTGTTGTTAATGACATTCATATTGATAAGCAGCCATTGCATATTTTCCTTGCATGGCATCCTGGATCTGTTCTTGAAATCATGTAAATTACTGATCAGTTTGTAGACTTGTTTATATTCTTTATGAGGGGAAAAACGACAGAATTATACAATTGAATTCTGAACCATAATGGTTGACTTCACACTGTGAGAATGTAATGAGTGTTTCATGTAAGTGTTAATTAATGGAGCTGAATTCCATTGCTGGATGAAAACTCAGTAGGAGTTTCTGCCTTTAGAAGAAGTTTGGTGTTATAAAAGACACAGAGGCAAAAAAGAAGAAAGAAGAAAGAAAAAGTCTAGCGTTTCCCTGTTTGGAGCTGTTTGGATTCTCAGTCCTTCTGATTTTCCTCAGAGGTATGAACTGTACCAAATACTCCCTTCTTCAGTTGGAAACTACCCCTTCCTCTTCCATAAAGAGGTTGTTTCCCCTCTTGGATGTATCTTTGTAACTGAATAACACTAATTTGCTTATAGTGTTCTTGATTTCCAGACAGAGTTTTCTGCCAGAAGTTTCTTATGGGCGTATTGTACTGAAAGCCTCCCATGGTATCTGAGAATCTGGCAATGCCAACTAGTGAGAATTCGGTTGTGTATCAGCAATAACGAATGAATAGATTGTCTCCAAATTTAAATGTAAACCTCATAATGCAGTATTTGCTAGTGTCACCAGCAGAGCTTATGTGGATGAGTATTTGCTGGAGCAGACTCAAAGATGTCATCAAAACAACTGGGTGGCAGAAAGCTTGGATGTTCAACCTAATTTGAAACCATTGCTGCTCACCTCTTCTTCAGGTGCATAACATGAAGGGAGACTCAGGAAGGGTCGGGTCCATTCCTATGACAGTGCTGTTGCTGTTGTCTGCTCCCTATTTAGGCCATTTGTTTTATGTTAAGGCATCTAATGTTTCTGAGCAAGCAGTAAGAATGAGAGAAAAGGTAACAGCTGTTGCCTACCTAACCACACTTTCTTATCTGATGAAGTAAAGCATCCTCCCAAGCACTTAGGTGCTTTGAATTGAGGAAGGAGACAGATGCCTTGCAGTTTTCTAAAGCTGAAAGACCTTTGGAACAGGGTCTGTGTTTTGTGAGGTACTCCACACAGGCGAGTCCTTGTCTGAACTGGGATACTGGAAAATAAAGAGCAACCAGCAAATTACTCTTCAGGACAAATGAATTCTCTAAAATATGGTGCCATGCTGCACGATGTGACTTCATTTCCCTGAGGAAATGTAAACCTCTTAGTAACAGTATTACCTTTTTTTTTTTTTTCCTCCTACTTGCTGCTGTTTGTTTGAGTTTCGTGTTTCAACAGTGAACAGCTTGTTACAATTTGTCTTAAAAACAGACATTTTGTGATGTTTCTCCAGTCAAATATTTTTTTCTCATATCTGGTTTGTTTCATGTGGGGCATTGTTTGCCACTTTTATTCATACATTTCTCAGATGTTTGGACTAAAAAACCCCCAGAAAATTCCATTTATTCAGACTGCAGGAAAAGATGAAGGTGTGATGTAACACTTCCAGACTAGAGTATATACCATTGATAAGTGAACTGTGTTTTTACATGGGCATGGTCTGAAGTCGTTTGGCATTTTTAGGTTGGAAAATTTACACAAAGCTCTGGATTAAGTCTGTAACAAGTAATACTACTCATACAGAGGGAGGCTACAAAAATGAAGGTGTCTTTCAGGGTTACAAATGTAGAAGGCCAGCTGACCAACAGGCAAATATTCCTGGGCTAGTCCTATTAGCCAGGATTCATAATAGGCCTTGAAAGTATGTTTTCTTTGCATCTACTACACACGAAGACCTGTTAGTTGCCCCAGGAAAAGGGGCAACCAAAAAATTCTTAGCAATTAAAATTCTTAACTGAAGAAATTGGGAATGTCAGTTATGGAAACTGCACTAAGAATCGAGTGATTGTTATGGGAGGTATATGGGTTGAGTTGAATATCACAAAAGCAAATTTTGATTTTTGATGAATGGTTTTTGCATGTTCTATAGCGTGTGTGCAGCCCTGATAAACCTACACTTTTTACAGGTTGCACGAAAGCATTCCGTCTTGTAGCTGTTCCATTCTTAACTTCAGCTGATTCACAGTATGTGAAGGATGCATCAGCAATTGTCAGGTATGTAGTAATCAATCCTGCTTTGCATACCTATTTGCCAAGTCTTAAATAGGTAGTGGATAAGTAGATAATACTTTGCTCAGATTGAGACCCACAAGGGACACAACCTGTGTTTATTTAAGTGTTCATCTCTTTAATTCAAAATTACTGGCTAGGTTGAGAGTGGCTTTGAAAGTGCCACCAGGTAGGCAGAAATACTAACAATTATAATGTGGACTACAAACCTTCTTTTTGTTAAGGACCCTGAAGTGTACTGGAAGCATTACTAAGTTTTCTAGGGGTCAGAGTAATTTCTTTGAAAACAAGCCCCCACAATTAGCAAGGAAAGCTAGATACACACTTCACCAGGTTTCCTGTTGCAAAATGACACACTTCTGTAGAGATAGAAAAGTTTTAGTATTTCACACTGGAAAGAATAGCTACTTGTGTGGACCTCTCTCCTTCCTACGGTTTTGTAAGGGCAGTCCATATCCCAAAAGATATTAAAATAAAACCAAACCAAACCAAAACCCCCCAAAATACACCACCTTGAACATCTCTGTCCTGAGACACAAGATAGTTAGGGATCCCCTTTTTGGACATCAGCTGTGTGCATAGCGGGATGGGCCATTTGGAAGTTTTCCTATTCTGAAGAAGCTTTCCTTCTTGTGATGACTGCTTCTAGTGAGGAGTCAGCAGAGGTGAGCATCTTCTGATGGATAAAGGGACTTTACAGTGCAAGAGGGTTAAGAGTGCAGGATGGTCAAAAGCAACATGAACAAGATGTGATGCTAACCCTGGATCTACAGCAGGATCCTATCAGTACAGAATTTATCATTTATAACCCAGTCATGTTTCAACATTGCACTAAGTAATTAATGTAATATGAGCTTGGACATATTTCCTGTATCCTGAGTTTAATAAGCACATCAGCTGTCAACACAAAAATGTGTTTAACTCCAAATACAGTTAGAGTGTAATAAACATAATATACACTTCTGAAACACTGTGTACTTTGAGAGGCAGTATGAGTGAACCATTATGGTTTATCTTGGTCAGGGAATTTTTAGAATTGCATGATGGTGCTTGGTTTTCCAAAATACAAAGCAACCATAAGTCTTTAACCATTTAGCTGGAAAGGAGCTGTAAGAAACTAAGGGGCTGTCTCATGCTACCATGGCATACTACTCAGGTGAGGAAGACTGCTTTTTGAGATTTTGCCATCACCAGACTTACACACAGTGTATTTGGGCTAGGGGTTAGGCACAGCTAGCAACCTGCAAGCTTGAGGGATTTATAGGGAAATACTTTTCCCCCCCACCCCTTTTAGTTTCAGCTTCAAGAATTGGTGAGGATTAAGGAAATACTTATTTTACCTTAACCAAGACTTTTAAGTAACGTTGCATCAGCTGGCTTGTATAAGCTCCTTAGGACATGCTTTGATCAGCTTATTTTGTTGCAGAACGAAGATAGCTGTACACTGCTGTTTGTTTACCTCAGAAATCAATCTAAACACTGTGCTGCAAAGATGATGTCACTTGGTCCAGGCTGAGTAACATCAGGTTTGCCAGCAGCTCCTTTGAAATATTTTCCTCAGCTCATCATTTCCTCATACATCATTAACCTTAGGGAAATAATCTTCAGTTACCCTGAGTAATTCTATAATAGGTGCTGAGAAATCAACTCTATGCACAAGAAGGCTTGTGAACAGCTGCCTAAGGCAAGTGGGGCATCTGCTGGTGAGGTGCTGCAATGAATTAATTTACTGCATGATAGACTGATCCAAATCCTATGTACATTTTACTTTACCAAATAGGCAAGTGCCAGGCCTGATTCCTGAGCTCTTTGGAAAAAAATGCTCCTTGACACTCCTTTAGAGGTACATTTTCATTGCAATAGTAGCCTTGTGAAATATCTTAATTAGAAGAAGAAAGGAAATGAGCTAAAGAAACTTGTCAGAAGGTATGATGCATGTCTTTAACTTTCTCCAACCTTTCCCTGCCACAGTCTCTCATGGCAAGTTCTCTGATAGTTTATAAGACTGTCTTCCTTGTACCAAGAGCTATTTTACACTCTGATCTACTGCCTAAGGATGTGAAATGAATACAATGCATAAGGGAATGCAACAATACTCTGTGGTCATAAAATCCAGAGCTCCCAAACACAGGTCATTATCCACATAAATTAATTGCCTCCCTCCATTCTTCAGAAAATGTATGCAACAGCATGAGATTCTCTACGGTGTTAAATAAAGTTCAGTGACTTCTGCAGAATTCATTTAATTTTTTTTTTTTTTTTCACAAAATTCTGTGTTGCATCTCTTTGTGCACATCAGACAAGAACTTGGGAGAAGCCCAAGGGGGCTTTCCCAATCATGGCACTAATTTCATTGTTAGGATTAACATTTTGGAATCAAACAATTACCATGGGAAAAGCTTGCCAATATGTTTAGTTGGAGCATGGACGTTCACTTGTGAAAAGGAAAGGTGAACGAACAAGGAGCAAAGTAATGCTAAACTGGGATGTGACCTGGTCAAGCTGTTAAAATATGTCGCTTCTGCTCTCCTTATAGATATGACATTGTCACCTACCCAGTAAAGCCAAACACTTTCTTAAGACTTTTTAAAATTCTGTTACCACAATAGAGGAGAAGTCATACATCAAAATACAAAAGCATCCTTACTTCTGCTCTGCTGCACAACACACTTGCTATATTTAGCTGTGCTGGGGAATCAATGCTTTATATAATCTTATCACAAGCCATTGCTGAAAAAAACCCCATCTGAGTCTGTCACTTGACCTTGGGCAAAGCAGGTCCTTCTGCTTTCTTCAGAGATCCTTCTGCCACGTATGTTAGAAGAACCTGTAACCAAGCAGTGATTTCCACTGTCCTTGTCCAAAGTCAGTGGAGTAAGCAAAAGTCATTTTAGTCTTGTTAAACTAAGCAAAGATGCAAGTACCTTCCTTGTCTGAGAACTGTCTTTTTTTTTTGGCTGCTTTTTAGCATGTTCTGTGCTTCATTTCACTTGAACTTTTGAACAGAAACAATACCAGTTTTGTTTAGTCCTTACAATACTAATTTTCTTTTATTTAGCCCTTATTAGCACAAGCAAACAAAACAAAAAAGATCATTATGATTGATAGCTACAAACCACTTTGATCTCTGAAATACAAAGTGTGCTAGATTACTATGTTTAAACTTTTCTCTGCTTTTCTTTTTATCCAGAAGTCAGATAATACCTGATTCCTACTTCCAAACCCATAATTTTTTCTGGCTTAAGAATTCCACAGTTTGAGGCTGGGAGAAGTCTTTAGAGAAATATTGCAGTATGTTTGCTCTATTCTTTCCATTCTTCCTCTGTGTTGGCCAATACACGCCTTGGACAATGGGGTTACAATGACCTTTTTTGTACAGCTGCTGAGCCAAATGTTTGTGTGATTGGTAGTAGTGAGTGGAACAAGTCCCAGCAGACGTGAAGTGACCAATAAAAAAAATAGAGCAAAAAATCTTTAACATTAAGGTCTCTCGAGCCTGCAACTAGAGGACAAAAATCAAGGCATCTCTTTCTAGGAAGCAAAAAATAATTCCTGTATTTCTTGAATTGCATATCATAGGGCTTGTGTTGAAGGGAAGCTGTTGCAAATGATGGCCAAATGGTACTATTTTCATTATTTTATATCTAACCTTAAGGACTTGGCTGTTTAATAGGTACACTTACTAATTTATTTACTCATCGTAATCTTCTTAAAAAAAGTAAGACTAAACCACTACTGCTCTATAGACCCACACAAATGTACAAAATCACAGAAGCTTTTCTGAGCACTTTTAAAGGAATAAACATTCAGGAAGCCTGAATTAGCAGGGGAGCCACAGAATTCTTACACTCACTGATTTTGCGTAAGACTCAGATGAAGCCTTTAGTCTTTATTATTATCTTTCATAACATTAAACAATGAACGTGGCCTATGTTTGCTCACTTGCCATCCACTTAAATGCCCTGTGGTTCTCCCTAGTAGCTGACAAACTCATGAGATATTTTGGATATTTCAGAAAAACAGATTGTAGATTTTATGTTATTAGGGACATTCCTGATTCTGGTAGGCAAAGCCTCCATGTTCTTCACTGGAACGTGTAACAGTGGAACCTACTAGAAAAGACTTCATCGTTAATAAGGAACCTGCTTTTTCAGCATAGCAATGCTCCACCTTTATGGTGGTCAAGAAACTTGTGTGTGATAATACAGTATGTGTATTATTTCTTGTCGCTCAAAATACAGAAGATAAAAACTGGGTCATAAATGCTAAATTGTGTTGTATGTCAGCATCACTTGCTATGCTTTTTAAAAAAAAGTTAATTTATTAAAATAAAATTTTAGGTAAAGATTACATTTGTCTTTACATGAGAAGGAAAGTGAGACTTTGCAAAGTGCTCTCTTTGAAGTTATTTAGTACAGTTAAATAGTTCTAGACAATAAAAGAAGCAGGGTGAATAAGGAGTGCAGAGAAGGGAGCAATGCAAAATATTACTGTTTCCTTTGGATCTCAAAAAGAAAAGGAAGTTGCAAGACCAATTAGTTCTGGACTTCTACAAGTCACTAACATTCTTGTATTCCCCTCTTTTTTTCCTTATGTGTTGGTTGATTCTGGGATGGATTGTTCCACTGAGGCATTTCAGGAGCCTTCAATAGAAGAAAGATACACATCCAACAGAAGTTAGTAAAAATATACTCGAGCAGTTCTATGATTGTAATCATACTGGCACCACAAAACAATCCAAGCTGGCCACCTACTTCAGCTGTAATAGAAGGAAATAAACACATGTCATCCAAAGCATTTAGTTTAGTCTAGCAAGCAAACAAAACCTGCCAGGCTCAAGTGTTAAATAGATTCAATATACACAATCCATCACTTTAAGAAAACAGAATTAATATTCTTAAGAATGTTTACTGAATGTTTAATGTGTTTTTGAAAATTCTAAATAAAGCAAGTACAATACAAGACATCCTACTGGGAAGCAGATA